ATATATATATACATATATATATAAGCACGGTGAACGCTGGCTATAGCCCCTAAGCCAGCTTGAGGTATGAAGATACAAATACTGAGGTCATCATAATTTTCAGCTACTCCGTTTCTCAGAAATCTACCATTATACAGCACTATCAATAAAAAAATTACACGCGGATGTCTGCACAATAATTGCTAGTCTCCTATCACACAAAGTACTCCACTGAACAATGGGGTTAACCCATGATCAAAAGTAACTTAAGTTGGAACATTTCGGCGTGGCTTTATTTGTTGACGCTGCCTTTGAGAAGATGATGACTAAAAGAAGTTGGAAGTACGGAACTAAGAAGTGTTCCACAATTTCAGTCCTAGGGCAAAGAGGACTGGAGGATGAAGAAGTCCGATATTCATAGATAGAAACCGGATACTGGTGACCACCCATTTCGTAGAGTCGGTAGATAAGGTGGATTTGGCGGTAAACCGATAAGTGAAGACATCATTCTTTCCATGGAGCTCACAAATCAAAGAGCCCNCACAAATGGTAGCAAAGTTGGAAGTGCTGAAATCACGAGTTTGTTTTTGGAAACGACAAGAATGTTCGGTTACCGGTTGCGGACGACGCGGAGGGCTCTGCTTTGTAGCGAGTGAAGCGTTTCTTCGCTCTTTGTCTGATGAGCGACCATTTATTTCTGACTTGCGTGAAGCGTTTTCGGATCGCTGGGTTGCATGAGTGCTGATTGATTTTATCAGTTGGGATTGATTCTGGCTATTTAGCTAACGGGTTTTGAGAAATGGTTGGGCATACTGGTTAATACAGTTTATGGTCGTGCGACGGTCATCGTGTCGTCTATTCAGACTACTCACCGATGCAATAGAACAGCATGGTGCAGATCAATGCGTTGTCGGATCCGAAAGAAGATATCGGCTGCATCGCGAGGACTCTGATGCAGTTAAGTCAACAAGTGTGTCTGGCGCATACAATGGACTCTTTGGGGATTGATGTCTGGTGCGTATCGGAGACTCGGATCCAGGATCCTAGTACTATAAGCCACTTAAGTTATCTTCGAGGTTCTTCCTCCTCACGTCAGGTGATGACGAAGCCCGTTCAGTAGACCATCGTGGCGTAGTCACTGTACTCAATAATACAGCCGAAGCCGCACTACACGATTGGATCCCGATTAAAAGTCGCTTATATGCGATGCGGCTGCAAGGGGCCATCATCCTCCCGAAGGAAAGCAACACCAAAAGGGTGTTTATTCATCATTTCAGCGTATGCACTGACCAACTGCAGTTCTGACACACAGCGACCAATTTTTTGATAAACTCACCCAACTTATTCGGTTGAGCCGAAGCTCCGACGTCGTTGTTCTTGTGGGTGATTCTAACGCTCAATTTGGAAAACAGCACATCGGAAGCTTGCCCAGGCGGTCATTGTGCTCTTCCGGCGATTGACTTCTTCAGTTCTTCGCAAATTATCATCTGTTCCCATCCAGTATCAACTTCCGACACAGCTCTCAACGGACAGCAACGTGGCGCTCAGATTCAACTGGCACGCTAACTCAGATCGACCACATATCAGCGGGATCCCGTTGGTGTGGCTCAACATAAAACGTGTTGCGTGGGTTGGAAAAGTTCGAAGTTTATATATACACCTGAGTGGAAAACCGTGCACAGTAAAACACCAGCAGTGGAGTAAAACAGAAAGAAATATCACAGTAACAGTCAAGATTGATTGTGAAGAAAATCTGAACAGAAACCGTCCCCGTGGATTGCTCCTTTTCTTTGTACAATCATCGTCACTAAACATCCAACTGTGGTTCTTAACTTGGAACACAAGATCTGTATGCTACCGTAGTAGAACGGCTACCAGCACCCGGCTGTCCGTAAATCCGCTAAATCCTGGGTTATTGAATGATCAGTGGGAGAACGATTAGCGGCAGTGCTGGAGGGCTAACCGCACAAAATACTGCACATCTATAATGATGATGATTGTACGAAAAAAAGGAGCAATCCACGGGGACGGTTTCTGTTCAGATTTTCTTCACAATCAATCTTGACTCTTAGTGTGATATTTCTTTCTGTTTTAATTCACTGCTTGTGTTTTACTGCACGGTTTTTCACTCAGGTGTATATATAAACTTCGAACTTTTCCAACCCACGCAACACGTGACACGCTTTTTCTTTGCTACTGCACTTATTTTCTTGCATGGTTTAGTCGTCACATCGGCAGGTATTCCGTACTTTCTAGTACCACGATACGACAACCGCGAGTGTTTTTGTCTACGTCGGGTAACGAAACACTGGGAGGTCGCGCGCGTAATCCGAGATCCGTAAAGGTCTCATCCATAGGCTTTTACGCCGATTAGCTTCAGATGTACAGTTATCACGTCAATACCAATGGTTCAGACACAAGAAGTAATGAGCTTGGTTGAAGATGGCGAAAACAACTCAAGCTACAGCGAACAAAATACACACTCTAGTTTTGCCTGCGCATCTCTTCAAAAATTCTGACCTTTGAGTAGCCACTTCACGCTTCTTAATAATGTATCGTTACATATTTAATAAAAGAAAGTAAAATAAAAGGAACCGATAAAACATGCCTAGAACGCCATTACGGCATGTTCGCTGTAATTGACCTCAATGTATGAAGAACCCACTACAGTCCAGGAGGCGAGAGTTACCGGTCATGATCAATATACATACAAATTCTCATGACTCATTTCCTGGTCATATACTAACCACGAGTGATTTTCTTCAACATGGAGTCGCAACTACATGTGGTGCACGGTGCGGTAGACAGCTAGGAATATGCATCATGTATCCTATAATGAGTGAAACTTGCTTATGAGGATTCGGCGTGACCGCGGATTTTCCACCGAAAGCCTTAAATTTATGGCGGCCACAATGGATCCTAATGCACTCACTCCCTATCCCGAATTCCGTAAATATCAACGGTAGGTTTTTTTACATGCAGACTTAAGTTTTCGACATCGATCCTATTGACATCGGACGCGAATTGTCAACTGTAATAAAATGTCATCATCATTATCATCATTGTGCAGCGTAATACAGTGAAGCGAAATTCAATGATCGCTGCCAAACTCATAGTCCACACAAGCTAAGTGAAAATGTGTAAGGAGGATAGGGATTGGGCCTATTTTTAGGGACGGGAAAAGAAAGCGAACCTCTATGGTTAACATATAGAGTCCATTGTGCATACATGTCTTCAAGCATTCCTATATGATAAGAAGATTATCGCTCTGTGC